GCTGGCTTTGTTTTTAAGCCATTGCACCTCAGGTAGTCCTGATTTGACAACCTGAGGTGTGTGAACGCCTGGTCTCTGCCTCAGTTTCTCCCTCTGGCCTACCAGGGCGTTCAGCAGCAGAAAAGAAACAAGGGGGGGGATTTAAAAAAGGAAGGCAGAAGGGTTAGAGTTGCTCGCAAGCAGACAAAGAAGGGAAACTGAAGGAAACCATGATGGTTGTACAGCTGTTTTGCAAAAGACCTATTTAGCAAATCAGCTAGCTGCTTTCCTGTTGTTGGTTTATACATGAAGCAACAACCAGCGTTCTTTTGTAAGGCAAGGAGATACAGAAGAGCAAAACGGGCTGGAGAGAGCAATAGGCGCTGTCTTGTTAATTTACTCAAATGCAGCGTTTGCCCCTGCCAGAGCGGTAGCTAACACAGCTGCCCATGGGAAACACCTCTCCAAGCAGAGGCTGTTGCCTTGGCCGAAAGGGCCTCGGCCCCGCCAAGCTGCTGCCAGCCCCGGGAAGATCTTGCCGGCAAGTCCCAAGGTGGGAAATGTACACGTTGGAGGAGGAAAAAAACCTGGCAAAGAGAGGAGAGGGGGGGAGAGAAAAAAAAAAAAAAAAAAACTAAGCATATCCCCTCCCCAACCAATTATTGTGCAAATCTCCATTTCAAACTCTCTAGTGCAAGAGTTTATTCTGCACCCCAAGGATGCAGGATGATACTGGAGAGAAGCCACCTGTCTTTACTCCATCTCTATAATTGGTTAGTTTTTCTCTCTTATTTACAATAGCAGAAGGCAATCTTTTTCTCCTCAGATATTTATGGACAGTTGTGTCTTTCGTAATGGTTGTCATCAAAACAGCACAATGTATTTTAACTGTCTTCTCCCAGCCCAGCCCAGGCCACTCAAGCATGTAACAAATGCTTTTCAGCACAAGCAGAATCAACCCTATTGTTCTACGTTTCGGCCTAGATATTGCCATTGGCACTGTACAAGCAGATGCCTGTGCTAAATACAGACTTAATCCACAATTACTCGTGAATGCACTTAGATTTTGTTATTATGGGTCTAGATTATATTTTTTTAAAAGAAACGGGAGATAAACTTAAGAAAATAGAAACATTTATTGCAATGTACAACACCAATGTGTAAAATAGTATGAATTCTGTGACAGCATCATTTAAAAATTCATTACTTGTAACATTCAAATATATCAAGCATCCTTCACACTGAAAAAGAGAACATCTGAAAATGCTACAGTATGACAGCTTTATTCTTTACTCAAGATACACTCTTAATGATTTAACTTCATTAATTCACTCTCTCAAATTCTCATTCTCTACAAATCTTACAAATATGAACAGCTGCATAATACTACAGTTTAAGTTACTGCCTGATCCAGCATTTTTAGCAAGTGCTTAGCTGCAGTACTATGAGATTACACATGAAAATACAGTTAAGCATAGCTGTGTTTACAGAACTTAAGTTTAAATCCTGACTCTTCACAGTCACAATATGCATGTAATCTCTCAGCCTGGGAGTGGCCCTATTGAATTCAATATTATGTTTCTAGTCCCATGCTGAAAGTTAGATATAGCTGCAGAATGAAAGCCTAAAATCCATTTTTCTTCCAGTATAAACTGCGTTTATAAACTACCAAAAAAGAAATCTTTCTAGGTTAATCAAGCTGTACCCATGTTGAAAATTAAGCCAAAGTCTTCATTTCCAGTGTACACAACTGGTATTTCCTTGGGAAAAAAGTATCACATGGAACCGAGACTTTTCCTAAATTAGGAATGGTAATAAAAGGCAATGTAAAATCTTTTGAAAGCCAACATGGAAATATAAGAATTCAACCATCTGATGAAAGCAATCTTCAATGTCTTTACAATATTCAAACAATTTCACTTTTTCGGCTCCCTTTTATTTACATTGCAGGTTCAGCCTCAGGCACAGAGGATCTCTTGCAGCAAAAGAAGGGCCATTTACAGAGAGAAATGCACCAGCAAGGAATGGCAGCACTTTTGGAGCTCAACAGGAGTTTGTACCCTTCACATTTGTGTGCTGTGATACAGCTGGCATTTTCAGCAGAAGCAGTAAGCTGGTAGATTTAGTGCTACCTTGATGCACTGATCTTTCCTCATGCTGGGACTGAGCCAGCAGCAAGGAAAAACGCCTCTTCTCTACCATGCAGCGTATATGCTGAGGAAGATGCTAGATTTAGCATTTGGGCAACAGGAACAATGAGGAAGTCAAACATCACAATTACATTGATTTGCTTTGCCCACAGTTGCTCCTCAGGCAGAACTCCAGCTGAGGTCAGTAAAATAGCTGCCAAAAAGACCCTGGAGTTAATGTGCGCGGGCCACATTTTAAGTGTCCTTAATATTAACAGAAGAAAAAAAACATACTGAAATGTAAGTGTATAGAAAGTACAAGGACTGCAGAATTCTGAAAGGCAAGATGGCACCATTAAGACTGTACATTTAGAGTAAGGACAATAACAACAATGGAAACAGAACTCTGAAAACTCTAAAAAAAACCCAGCTAACATTATCAGAAAAAGGAAAGACAGCGTAATTTTCTTTACATGGTATATTTAATGCATGCTGGGTCCTTACTGCTGCAGCATTTAAACATGTGAGAAAGTCTAGGTATGCTAGCTCACTGCTGTTTTGTACAATGCTTATCCTCATTGCCTTCATATAGAGCTATGCATGGAGGGGGGCTTACTAAATTTGAAAAAACCTATGATTATAAAGTCATAAAAATTACCATGGGGAAAAAAAAAAGAAAGAGGGCAGCATATTAAATTATTACCTTTACGGGGTTTTTACCTTTTCTCTATGTTAGGTTAATGCTGCCAGCTCTTTGAATCAAAGGCAGCTATCACAAAACCTAATTAGTTTTACTTAGGACCTGCATGTTGGTAAACAGCAAGTAAGAGCAATTACTCAGCCAAGTAACCTTCAAAACAAAGTTATGTGATATATGAACTTTGTTGTTTGTAATTCCACGCTTTAGCAGAATAAAAAGCATTGGAGTAACACAGATCTAGCAATCAACAGAAGGCAGTGAGAAGCGTGTTCCATATTATTCATTCATTCCCTAAGGAATCTTCAACAGAATTGTACATATGGGGAGAGAGAGAGGAAAAAAAATCATTGGTGGAGAAAAGGGAAATGGAGGAAGTTATCAATAAAAAGTAAACATTGTTTTCACTGTAAATATTTGTTAGAGGAAAGGTCATTACCAATGTGAAGTCAGAAGTTGCTCACCATTGGATAAAACGTACTTTTTTTTTTTTTGAGGAGCAATATCATGACCAAAGCGTTGTTTTTACAGAAAACTACATCCTCCAGCATTTTTGCAAATACTGTGAATGTATATGCACAAGAGGGAGAAGAACAACACTTTGACAATTAAGAGTTTAGGAACGGAAATTACCAATTTTTAACTTTGATTTTGTTTTTGATGTATTCTTTTTTAGAGATAACGACAACTAGATTCTGACCCTCTACTGTCCCTGAAAAAGTCAGGGCTGCTTTCAGAGTTGGCCCTCTTGTGATCTAGTAAGGAATTGCAAAATACTTTTCCATATGAACCATACAGAAAATGTTTTTGGATAAGAGTTTCCGCTTCTCAATCATTACAGCTGTTTATAGTGAGTTAGAGATTAGGATTTTTTTGTTTTCTTGCACGCATACTTAGCTATCATCTTAAAACTGTTTCCTGTGTGACTTTATCTTAATAGTTTGCCCTTACAATCCTTCATATAATAAACTAGTAACTAGATTTCAGAGATCTATTTATAGGAAAATTCTATTGGTACTTGGTAATGTTCAACCAAATGATAGATTAAAAACATAATTTTCATTCTAAAAACATTAAACTATTCACATACAGTTATTGAACATTGATCTGTACAATATACCATGTGCAGTTAAAAGCATTATATCCAAATATATATATACACACACAGACACATATATACACATATACATATATGTGTATATGCTGCTCTATACATATATTCACAAAATGCACTTGCCATAACCCAGTTAATTGAGTTACCAGTCCAGTTTCATGTCTGCTTTACTCCACACATACTTTCCTCCTCTTTTTAGGAACATCTTCTCATCAAATCCACTGAACTGTATAGCTTCTTCTACTCCAACATCCAGGATAGATTTGGAAGGAGCTTTTCGTCCAGTTGTACAGTTTAGAAAACGCATCTAGAAAATTCATAGATAAGACCTTAGAAAGTTAATTTGTAAAGCTTAATTTTTGTGCAGAGTTAAATAATTTGCACTGAAATCCTACGAACACGCGTGTAAGTCATCTGCTTATGAACAGTTTCACCGTAGCCCTTAGGAAAACTCAGAGGCTCACACTGATACATCCTTTGAAGAACAAAGTCATACCAAAAACACTGTAGGTTAAAAAATAGAACTTGTCCTCGAAGGTAAGTTTCAAAGAGTCTACTTAGTTTACAAGTAACTGAAGAGCAAACATTTAGATTAAAAAAAAAAAGCAATGGCTTGTCTAAATATATGTATAAAATACATTTCTAGACTCACAATGCAATGATCATACATATAACCTGATGCACTTGGGGACCCCTCCTTAGGTCATATCTACATCCAAGTTCTGAATATGCTTGATGGAAAAAAATTACATCTATTCCTTGTACCACATGGTAGAAATTATTTTATAGAGCACATAGTAAACTGAAGCGGTTATCACTGTTGTATACATAGGTATATATTAACAGATAAATATCAAGGATCAAATAAAGACTTACGTATTCATCCAAAAGGAGGTATGAGTCCCTCATCTATAACAGATCAAAAGAAAAGCATAAGTTAATAGACAAACTAAAACTGCATTGTATCAAAAAATCAAGGACAAGGCAAGTAATTATTCTCTCAAAGTATAATCCAAATCTCTGAACCAATTGATGCCTCCCCTCTGATTCCAGTGAGCTAGGATAAACTTACCGGAATAAGTGACAGAATTGCTAGCGTGACTTGATGAATGAACCGATATTTGCTGAAAAATGACCTTTTAAGTTTCAAATTAAAATGTAGGTGTCCAACTGGAAAAACGTGTTTTAAATAAATATCTAAACTTTCTATTGACAACAGAAGTCATTGACATCAACAGAAATTACACTCATTTTACCTACTGGAATGATTATGTCATTTTCCAAACAAATGATGTAGCCATTTACGCTGGGGTGCTTCACTGCGACCTTAGTAAACAAATATGTTAGTGGTAATCTCTCAGCTCAAAAAACTCTCAGGTTTTCCTGCACCAGGATATAGGACAATAGCTGAAATAAGATATGTTTGCTCAGCTAACTAGGCATCTCCTATCGGACCCCTTTAATTCTCTGGGTAGTTGGAGTCTGCTGCTGTGTAGGCCTGGAAATCCGTTTGATCTATTTGCTGTCCACCTTCCACACAATCTTGACAGAAATTAGAAACAATGTCTCTTCCGCCGTGGGAAGGAAAAACTAAATCTACTTTTTTTTTTTTTTCAGTAGGACTTCTTGAATGTAAAAATGCAGGAACAGTCCTGGCTTCTCCTCTAAATCCCTTCTCTGATGAGCCCTACCTCCCACCAAATGCCTCACGCACTGGACTACGCGGGCCCACTCCTGTGTGCTCTTCCCTCCTTTGGCACAGCTAATCTGGAACACTTTGCTGCAGACTGGCACAACTTCAGCA